CCGAGCGAGCCCGTGCTCGTTGGCCGTCGGGGCGCAGCCAGAGGCGAGCTGGACAGTGCGTGGAGACAGCTGTGTGCGCCTGCCCCTCTTCCACCGCGTAGGAGCGAGGAGAGGTTCAGGGGCGTTACAGCAGAGCGGGCTGGTAGCAGGTGGAGGTGCAGCAGACCCAAAGCTTACTGCTGCGGGGTTGTGCCGCCCTCCAGAACGCGGCAGGACCCGAGTCGGTCCGGGACGTTGTCAGCAGTCATGGGTGCCACAAACTGCGGGGGGCGTTGGTTGGAGACAGGTGAAGGCTCCAGGAAGGCGCTAATCAGCTCCATTAACGCGGGTAATGAGGACTGGCTTGTGAAAGGTTATTGGCAGAAAGAACTTGCTGTGGATGATTTGGGATGTGCCTCGGGCTGGTGGGTTGGAGACAGGGCCAGCAGTGTTAAGAAGTTCCAGCTCAGGGCAGCTTTGCCCAAACTGTTGGCTTTGCAATGAGTCAAGCATATAGGCACTCTTTAGTGTTTTGAATGGGTTTAGGAACTTGCACTCAAGCTTGTGCAGACATAGCCAAAGCATGGGGCTCAGTTGGGCTTCGTAAACCCTGTTGGGCTCAGATCAACTCCACTGAAAGTTCCTGAGTGCTGCGCAGGGATGCTGGAGCTTTACACGGAGCCAGCTCAAGCACAGTGTGCCTTATTTGTTTGGTCTCTGCACTGCCTGATGTGGCTAAATTCTTTCCAGACTAGAGCTAGTCCTTGATGCAGCGTAGCTGTGTTAATTCAGATGCAGCACCATGCAAATAAGTTACTGTACCTTACTCTTTGCATGCAGCTAGCTCTGCTTCTGCTCTCATGATACATTTAATCTGTAGTCTGGTAATTGAAAGTCAACCATACTTACAATTGAGATAAGATTTTTATCTGCCTCAGTTGTTTGTTTTCTTGCATTTCTGACTGTTGCAGACTATTTTAAATTCAAGATACTGAATAAGATAGGCTTCTCTTTGGAATCATGGTAATTCATATACCTTGAGTCACTCTTTTTTCATAATTTGCTGTTTTTATAGATGCAAAAAGATAGTAGTTTTCCAGATTTGACCCATCAAAATGTATCTATTAAGTTTATTTTTTTTAATTCACCTCACTGTTTTGCTTCTTTTTTAGATAAGTTGTGTAGTAATTCTAATGACTTGTCAACTGCTAGCCCTTAATCTTAGTTACCTTTTAAATGCTTAGAAGTGAGAATGTATCTGTGTATTGTTGGTCAATGTGGCAAACTGGACTGCAAAACTGTCACTTGCACATTACACTTATGTGTTACAGCTGTAATAATTCCTTAACAATTTGTGACTCTATCAACTTCTGAAGGTTTTGTAACTTCTCAAGACTTTCACCTTTAAATGTACAGATGTTGAATGAGTTTTGAATGCAGTATGTCAGCATAATGCTTTATTAAAAGGATTTCCAAGTTTTATGTCAATGTGATAAGAGAACCTCTAAAACAAATTAATGTACTGTTTCCTAGCTTTCACATACTGAAAGATAATTATATATGGCTAAATGTAACCAGATGCTTACCCTATTACTCTAAACAAAGTCTTTTTCAAATAGGAGATAGTGTTCCTGCCTTTGTGCTGAACTGGGTTTGTCTCAGGATCTACGGAAAAACATGAAGACTGCGTAAAACATACTGAAATGTTTTCATTAAATGGAAAACCTAGCAAGGAGTTTGTTCTCCTGTGTAAGTCATGTTATGCATGATTAAGGGTTGTCAGCAGCTCATCGTAGACATGAGTAACTCAGTGCATGTGTTCTTGACTGTCAGAAATAGGAATTTTTTTTTCCTTCTGTGGAAGTCTGTGCTCCTATTTTTCTTGCAGAAATGGAATGTTTGTTCCAACTTGTATCGATAGGCTTAGCAATAGCCTATATTTAGGTTCTTGATAATCTGCAGACCCAATTACTGGGTTTGGAAAACTCTGAAAGAGGAGCTGCCAGGGTGGAGATCTATAGGAAACTCTGAGGGCTTCAATGGAATCATGACAGGATTTAACTGGTAATTTTGCGTATGCGCTTTTACCCAGCACTGTCCAGACACAGCCCACTTCCAGGCAATATTCTCCTTTGCAGCAGCTCATGAATGTTTTGTTTTGTCACGTAGAGCGTGAGCTCACCCACTGGTGAGTCCTAAAAACTAGGTTAAGAAAGGCTTAGTCTTATCACTAATTTATTCTCTGTTTCCTTTTTCTGTGTTTTTCTTCCTTTAATTTTTTAAAGGGCAGCAAAACAAGCAATTCCTCAGAAGTATTTTCCCTGCTGGCCCCTATCTAGCAGCGTTTAAAGGACTGGTCATAGGATGCTGTTCTACCGCTTCAGCACCTGAGGAAGTAACTGCAAACCCTTTCTTCCTTCTTGCAGCAGCATCTAGAACTTGGGTGAAGGTAGCGCTTCTGGTAGCAAGCAGTCAGATTTCCTCCTTATGTGTTGCTCAAATCTGATGGTTCGGATAGTGCTGCAGGGAGAAAACACAGCATCATAGCAGGCTTTTCGATGTATGGTGTCGTCTTGATCTACACCACACAGGTCACTGCTGTCTTGCCTTTTCCGGGTTGTTACCAAACAGTCCCTTGTCTAGGCCATATTACTAGAATACAAGCTGTCTATTTAGAAAAATAACCTAGTCTTGTGAGGAAGCTGATTGGGATCTTTTTCCATCTCTTAGATAAATCATTGGGATTAAAGATATTGGCTAATCTAATTTCAGAGATGACTAAATAGTTCTTCAGTTCTGTAGAAGGTGAATCTCCCTTCCTAAAGTTATGAACTTGTGTCCTGTTTAGAGAGCTACTCTGACATTCCTAGAGCTTCCTTCTGAGTTTTGAAGACTGTGCTGTTTGTGCTCCAATGTTGACAGTCTTGCTTCTCTGAGAGCCAACAATTGGAACGTAGCATAAAGTGTAGCTTTAATCCCTGGGTAGTGATTCATATTTCTATGAATATCATACCATTACATGTAATTCCATTTTGAAGATTTTACAAAATAGTCTGACAATAATATCTTTGTTTTATTCTATTTGAGAGAGCTTAAGAAATTCCTTGCTAACTAAATATGATTGATTTAAGATGAGCAGGGGAGAAAAATACACATTCAGGACTAGCATCACCTAGAAAAATGGATAATTAATTACTTTTTGCAGAGTAGAAAAGAAGAAAGTGACAGAACTATTTTCAGAACATTATGGAAGTGTTCTGAAGTAGGCTTAGCACTGGTTCAGTAACAGAATTTCCCCACGCTGCTTTCCTGATAAAGGCATAGTTGTTCCCATGTACCTATTTGGAAAATATTGTTACAAAGAATAATCCTGTTAGCTCAAGACTTTGACGTTTTATGTAGAAGTCTGGTCTCATTTGTAGTATGTCTGATCTTCTGCTCAATATAATTATAAGAGCTCTTGAAATTTCAGGAGTCCTTGCCTTGATTGCTCCATATGTTTTAAATCCATGTTTCCTGTCCATCCTGAAGTTCTTGGGTATAGGGAGGGGAGCTGGCCTTTCTTGAAGATAGAAGGAAACTAGAAGTTAATAGGGAATACTTTTTTTTTTTCTTTTTAAGTTTTGCTGATACTGTGGAGAATTATGAAAAAAGACACAAAGCGTTTTATTCTTCTTTGTATTGTCTCATTTTTTTTCTGTCCAGTAGTTGATCTGTCATGCCAAGCATGCTGTTAGGATGCCCTTTTTAGATATGAGGAAAATTCATTTTCTTGGCTTAAAAAATAATCATTATAAAATACTTACAGTTGCCTGATACAGGGAAAGCAGAAAGTCCCCATAAATCAGTGAAGTCATTGCTCTTTACATTTTGAAATAAGATGGCGATAGTTGCTTGATCGTCTCTGAATTATTAAATCTTTTCAGGAGCTCTCCAGGACCTATAGAGTTTACATTTATGCTGAAGAAAAACACTACCAAGTTGTTTGTTAAGTTACTGTAATCTCTAAATTAACTGACTTTTTGGTGCATGCTGTTATAAAGGACATGTATAATTGGGGATTACTGAAAATGCTAGTTCTTAAAGGCTGAATGTTTCAGAACCCAGCATGTGTCAGGCAGCTTGTTTTTCAATGACGAAAGTAAAAAGTGGACTATGTCAAGAGAAAATTTTTGGCAGACTCTGCTGGCTGGAATAGGCCTATGTCAAGAAAGACAGCCCTTTGAGGAATTTCTTGATATTAACACTTTTTGGAGCTAAAAGGCAGTAGAAAATGTTGTGGACTGTTATTTCTCAAAGGTTACCTTGTAAATGTGATAACCAAAAAAATGCTAATTACTTGGTGAGACAAGGTGAGAAAAGTGCTTGGACTAAAATACTCTGCAGGATCTTATCTTATCTTCTAAGGCCTTTTGAATAAATCTACTTGTGTTTGGTCAAAATTCACTTTCCTGTCGGCTGTACAAGTCGCTGAGATTTCATTGTGGCTACTAGGAGTTAAGACAAGATATCTTTCCCAGTAGGCAGACTTATTTGTGAAGTGTGCCA